ACTTCTGGTTGCACTGCTTTGCAGCAAGCCAAAGAATCGAAATGTGACACATTTATAGAAGCATTACAGCACATTGTTGGACTAAGAGATTAGCTCAGTGGATATCATTTCAGCGCTAATTGAGCACTCCTCTTCACATCTCTCTCAGTTTGTTTTATAATACGGGTAATAACCGCTAGTCATCCCAATGCCTGCCAACTGCACTGTTGTTGGAGTTGGATTACCTCACTGGCAGCCTGGTCGCAATCACCACCCTCATCATCATCATTGTCAAAGACGTGTCGTTCAACGGTGTGGTAGAGTGCATCACCGGGGCGTACATACTCTCGCGCCAAACAAGCGGGCAATCTCGCTGTACCCTTGATGAGGATGATAAAAATAATGGCAAGGTACAGGGTGTCCGTGCACAAAATGCAATGTGTCGTGGTATATTGTTGAGAATAATAAAATAGTTATGTAGGCAAATATAAATAATATTTTACACCATCACGTTGATTAGGTCATCATCATCATCATCATCAATCATTGTACAATTTGTTTGGCGACCTGTACAGGGTGGGACAGGCCGATCACAGACTCACACACGCAATCCGAGCAAGAGAAGGGGGTGTGGCCGCACTGGTTTAATGCACTGAAGAGGGAGCGTTGTGTTTGGATGTTCTTGTCGTCGTCGTCGGGGCTGTAATAATTGCGAATCAATAATTCTCCTCCGTCTCCAGTGTGCTTTTAGTGCTGCTCCTCCACCGGTTTCAGTTCGCGAATCTGCTTAATCAGGTAGGCCTTTTCGTCGTTGAACTGCTCGTCGTCGGCGCGGTCCGTTTGGAATTTCGTTAAGAAGTCTATTAGTTTGTCCTTGTTCCGCAGGAGAATGTCCAAGATGGGCTTTGGCTTGTTCGGGTTGGCTACGAACACTTTGAACACATGAAACGCCTCAAACTGAATATTTCGACTGCGATTTTTCAGCATTGTCATCATTAGCTTTAGATTCTCCTGTGAGCTAATGTAGCGCGTCATGATGGTAAAGTTGTGCCGGTCTAGGAGGAGTTCACCGAGCAGCTTCAGTGATTGTCTCTTTGTCACGTAGTTATCTGAATTGAGTAGCTTCTCGTAGCACTCAAAGAACTTATCATAATTTGACTCGAGAAAGTCTGCCGACAGTGTTTTGTGTCGCGTCAGGAGTTCTTTGAAGGTGGAAAAGGCATCGGAGGCAATGTCAAACGTCGACACCTCGACGTACTTGAAGAAGTTGTAGTAGTCGGGCGAGTTCAGCATCATCTTCGCCAGTGCCTCGTACCGGGAGCACTCGCGAAGCATTGAGCCGCAGTGAAGGGCAATGTCGTGCTTCTCATAGCCCTTCATCAGCGTAAACAGAATGTCCGGCTTGGTGCACATGTATTCGACGGTGGGTGAGCGGGTGCCGATTTGCCTCCGGAGGATGTTGTTGAAGATCTGAGCCACGTCCTTCTTCGCCTCGAACTCAATCTTCGAGAGGTTGTTGATCAGCTGCAGCAGCACATTGGAGTTGTAGAGCTCCTGGGCGAGCTGGGCGACGCCAATGTCCGTCTGCGGCTCGGTGTCGCCGGTGCCGTAGAGCATGTTTTTGATGAGCACCAGGTTCTTGGAGACGTCCTCTTGAGCCTTCTCCGCCTTCTTGTCGCCCTTCTCCAGCACCGTCAGTGCCTCCTGGAGACTCTTCACCAGGTCATAGGGGCTTTTGGTCGATTTGCCGAACAGGGGCATTGTGAATGTCAGCGGTGGTGAGGAAATCTCAGGGTGAGAAAGACGCTAAATTGAGGTGCTGGGGTTAGCAACGGCGATCACACTCTCTGTTGCCGTTCACTCTCCTGCAAAAGGTGCAGCGGTGATGATGGTGTTGGCGGCGGCGACGGCGGCAGTGCTGTGGGTAGCGTGCTGAATGTGCCGATTTACTGAATGAAAGGTGAGCCGAGTGCACTGCCTAAAGATGTGGGGAGTGAACCGATGGGCAATACTGGCGTACGCCTGCAGCTCAATTAGTGGCCAAGCACGCGGCCGGGCAAACAACCATCCACTTCCTCGCAATTGATTCAGCTGCTGCTGGTGCTCGGCTGGTCTGCTCAGGTCAGGGAGGATGAAGTTGGTGTTGGTGTTGGTGCTGCGGTTGGTGCTGCTGCTGGTGCTGATGATCATGAGGATTCGGCTACGCTGACGACCAGATTGCCGCACTCACTGAGGCAATAACATTTGCTACCGCTGCTGCTGCTGTTACTGCTGCAGTAGTACTGCTCGACAGCAAGTGCTGATGGGCGGCGCACAGCGGCAGTGACGTCACAGAGTGGAAAAGGTGCACTAGGCGTCTGACGTAGCGCCTGCCTTTGCCCAGTGCATTTGCATCTGTCTTGGAAATAGAGCAGCAGTGGTTGCTTTCTGCCTTGCCGAACGGTTTTTCTGTCTGCAAGACTCGGCAAACTCCTACACACTGCTTAAAAAACGGCGGCTGTGAGAAGCACCACCGGAAAGGGCACAGGACAGTGGTGGTGGTGAAGACCATTACCCTGATTCTACTGCTGCTCATCATCATCATCATCATCATGAGGAGCACTATTTCAACAAGCNTTCTGCCTTGCCGAACGGTTTTTCTGTCTGCAAGACTCGGCAAACTCCTACACACTGCTTAAAAAGCGGTGAGAAGCACCGCCGGAAAGGGCACAGGACAGTGGTGGTGTTGGTGAAGACCATTACCCTGATTCTACTGCTGCTCATCATCATCATCATCATGAGGAGCACTATTTCAACAAGCAGGCGACAGTACTGTTCGCTCCCCTAATCTGATTGGCGAGACCTGTAAGATGATCTCTTTTCCCTCTACAGCTGCTGCTGCTTTTGTAGCCTTCAGCCTTGTCATTACCGGCGCCCGAGAGAAAGAGAGGGAGAGGAAGAGTACACAGCTGCCATTGTGTTTGGTGCAACTGCAGATTGGTGCAATTTGGCAGACTGCAAAGACAGTCAGCGTCAGGCAGGCGTCAGGTCAGGTCGAACTGAATCAGTGGCGACGGTGCACTGTCGGTGGCCACCACCACGACGACCACTTGTTAGCAGCTGGCACATCGATCACCCCGACAGTCACGGACAATGGCACTTGTTTGCTGTGCAGAGTTCTAGTTCACGCCACAGAGACAATTGCTGCAGAATCAACCTGTCGACGGACTGCCGGTGATAGCAGGCGATGCTGCCATTATTGACACAGGCACTGAAGGGTGACAAGGCGACGACCGATGACCCGAAATAAATCAAAGTTGGAAGGGAAGCAATTTACAATGCTTTTCCTGGAATCGATTTGAAATGATTTTTTGTCAAACCTAAAAATTGAATTTGAAAGTCGTCACGTTGTTTGCGAGATGCGTCAGTGCATCATCTCCAGCAGTGCACGTGATTGCTGATTTGTTTATCAAAATTACCGGCAAGGATGCTCTATCTAATTGGCCTTGGTCTCGGCGACAAGACGGACATTACCGTGAAGGGACTTGAAATTGTGAAGCGGGCCAAGCGAGTCTACCTGGAGATCTACACCTCCATCCTCGGTGATGACCACAAGGAGCTGGAGGGCTTTTACGGGCGAAGTGTCATCCCCGCAGATAGAGAATTTGTGGAAATTAATGCCGATGAAATTCTGAATGGTGCCGATGTTGATGACATTGCATTCCTCGTGGTGGGTGATCCTCTAGGGTAAGAGGTGTTTTGATGATAACAGTTCTTTTTAATAATTGTCTGTCTCGCTGTTTCAGAGCTACCACGCACACTGATCTCATCTTGCGGGCAAAAGAGNATGCCGATGAAATTCTGAGTGGTGCCGATGTTGATGACATTGCATTCCTCGTGGTGGGTGATCCTCTAGGGTAAGCTTTATGAGGTGTTTCAATGATAGCAGTTCTTATTAATAATTGCCTGCCCCCCTGTTTCAGAGCAACCACGCACACTGATCTCATCTTGCGAGCAAAAGAACGTAAGATTGACTACCGACTGGTGCACAATGCATCGATCATCAACGCTTGCGGCGCCTGTGGTCTGCAACTGTACAACTTTGGAGAGGTGGTCTCCATTCCACTGTGGACTGACTCCTGGAAGCCTACCAGTTATGTGGAGAAGATCTGCCAAAACCTCAAAGCTAACCTGCACACACTTTGCCTACTCGGTAAGCACCAACGATGATGATTGTGATCAGTGAGTGGTCTAAAAGGGTGTGTTTCATGTATTTACAGACATAAAAGTCAAGGAACAATCAATTGAAGCCATGATGAAGGGCAAGAAAGAGTACCTGCCGCCGACCTTCATGTCAGCCAGCGTAGCCTCTCAGCAGCTGATTGATTCAATTCAGGAGCTGCCGGAGCTTTGCGCTGCCGTCAACCTGAGCGAGGACAGCACCTGCGTGGCCCTTGCCCGGGTGGGAGGANACCTTCATGTCAGCCAGCGTAGCCTCTCAGCAGCTGATTGACTCGATTCAAGAGCTGCCAGAGCTTTGCGCTGCCGTCAACCTGAGCGAGGACAGCACCTGCGTGGCCCTTGCTCGGGTGGGAAGTGAAAGTCAGAAGATTCACAAGTGCACCCTCAAGGAGATGATTCAAGTGGACATGGGCCCGCCGCTGCACTCGCTCATCGTCGTCGGCAAGCTGCACCCCATTGAGGAAGACATGTTAAAGCTGTTTGAATAAGTGGAGTTTCTCTGCCTGATGTTGTTATTGCTGAGGTGCTGCATTTCTCTATTTTTAAAGTTCTCACGGCTTCAAAGTGATCGTCCTCAGTGCATCCTCTTCGTGAATATCAAAGATAGCTCTAGCACCGTCGTTGAAGGAGTAGGAGAGGCCGCCGTCAATGACAATGTGGGCGTCGGTCATGCGCGAGCGAACGACTATTCGCTTGGCAAAGTCACGCGGCTTGCTCGAGAAGTTCGTCCCAAAGACGACCGGGTCGCGAATGGTGTACGCCATGGACGGCTGCGAGGGCGGGTAGATGAGCGAGTTGTTGAATCGGTCCGTCACCTTCTGCACCAGCTGACTGTCCTCGGGGTTCAGCTTGTCCTTCTCTGTGGAAGAGGCGAAGCACTCCTCATTGACAATGCGAAAGAGGTCCTTCACACACTGCGGCGTCAGTTTGTTGATGTTGAAGGACCAGGAAGTGGAACCAGTACCGGTGCAGATGGTCACCCCTGAGCTTTTAATCTTGAAGCGCTCCTTGCTGTTGATGGACATCTCAAAGTAGGAGACGCGGGAGGAGAGTGACTCGCCGATAAAGACCTCGTTTAAAGCTCGAAATGGAAGAACTCGCTTCGGAGTAGTAGTAGTGCTCACCGGCGGTGGGGTGGGCTTCTTGAACTGCTCAATCTCCAGAAAGCGATACTCGGGGTGCATCAGCTGCTGGTCGTGCAGCTCAGTCGGATCGGCAAAGGCGTTCTGCCCTTCAAGGGTGACGCGAATGCGCTGCCGGAACTGCCACTCAAACTGACCATTGAGCATCAGGTCGAGCGCCTTGTCAAAGTTGCTCGAGTACTTGTTTGGAAGACAGAGGTGGCCAACGGATCGAGTTGGGTCGCTGTTGACGCCAATCAGTGGCTTCATTGAGTTGACAATTTTGCTGGCTGCCATCAGGTAAGTTCCATCGCCACCGGAGGTGATGATCATGTCCGCCCAGTTGATCAGATCTTCAGTGTACGAAAAACGGTTTACCACTTTGGCTTCGATATTTCGCTTCTTCAAGCATTCTGCAATATGATCGCGATTCTTAACATGAATATTATGATGATACAGAAGACTTTTATAATCTGAACCTCGAAGTTCCAGCTGTTTTGAAAAAATAAGTGTTAGTTTACTGATGATGAAATCATAGGAAACTTACACTTTCACTAAACTCTTCTTCGTTCAGATTAGGATTACGATGCTTTTCAAATTCATATCGAGAGAACTTGCCCAGCACCAGTGCCTTCTTTGGCGTGAAGGCACTTGAGCATTTGGGGGTAGGGCTGACAGGTCCATTTTCCTTAGGGGTACTCATTGAGGCGTAGCGATGAAAGGGTGATGCGGTGAAGAGATGACGGCGATGAGAGGTGAGGAAGGAGGAAGCGCTGAAGCTGGGCAGCCTTATCAGATCAACAGACACGAGAAGGTGGTTTGTCAGATGACATACTTTCGAAATTGGGTTATTCTGTGAAAGGAAAAGATGTTAAAGATAAGTTATGATGACGTTGCTGCAGGCATTGTTTTCCATTGTTGTAAGCTAATTAGTTGTGCATGCACAGACAATTCAGTTCAATTACCATTTAGAATGCGAGTTAATTGGGAAAATCATCAAAATCATCAGTGATGGCGACGAGCGGGAATGTGAACTACAACAAGTGTAAGTGAGAGCTAGGAAGCGGTCTTTTATGTTATTGATTGAGCCCACACACACACACGCACACACTTTTGTTAGTAGCACACAAACGCACAGTGGCAGACATACAAACAAAGTTGCAGGCTAGTGAGAAAATGTCGTCGCGATTATCATCATCGTGATTTAATTCGTACGAGGTTTGCCTCTGTTCACGAGCCTGGCATTGAAGCGGCTTGGCGGTTACAAAACACACCAGCGGCGGTGGCAGGCACGAAACGCGATAAGACAGTGGAGCGCCTGACGTCAGTCTATTTGGCTGCTGGTGGAGAGCTTCGAGGGGAACTGCTTTTGTGCAGTCACGGCTCTAGGTGATCTGCTGTTGCTGTTGCTGGTGCAGCTCGTCCAGGGCGTCGGTCTCCGGCGGTCTGGAACCATGTGATCGGGCGACTGAGATTTTGTTTACAGTTTGGAGCCTCTCCAGCGGATTTTGTTTTGCCCACACAGTGTTCAGCGAACGTCGTCTGCGAAGCGGGCGTCCCTCGACTGGGCAGTGCGCAGAGTGGGTGACTGCAGGTGAGCGAGTGGAGACAGCCGGTGCCGACTTGTCCCTCGGCGTCCCCGATGCTTTGCCTTCGGCTGCCGCTGCTCTCAGCGACGGCGACGAACGACAGCAAAGCACCAAGTATCGGAGTGCTGTGTCTTGTTGGCAATCACCACCACCACCAGAAATACTGACTCTGTGTGACTGATCTGTCTGTCTGTCGCCGTGTAGCACCGGGGATTCTGTGTGTGTTCTCTTCAGCAGCGAAGTCTGTGGTCCTGAAGTTCTTCTGCCCGCCGTTGTGCCCCCCTCATCAGCAGTGCCCAACAACCAACCACCGAGAAGTATGGTGATCTGGTTATTAGCGTCGCCCTGTTAGGACAACACTCGTAGCCTGAAGAGCACAGAGACTTGCGGAGAGTTTCACTGCACCAGCATCCATTTACCACGGCTTCTTGCACCGCCAATCACCTCATCAACTGACACGTCACACACCTCTAACTATATCTGCATCGATAATTGCATCTGTAATGTTACCAACGTACTCCAGTGAAAAGGCATTTCGAAACTCCTATCGCCTTAAAGACAAAATTCTAGGATGGCTGAGGTAGGTGGCAAAAATCCAGAGCGAATTCTGCCGGTTCTGCTTCTTTCTCTAACGCCGTTTTACTCTTTTCAGGTTAATTCTCTCAGACACAAACTCTAGAAACCTGTTTATGTTTTTATTGTTAAACTTTTCANCTCTGTGTGACTGATCTGTCTGTCTGTCGCCGTGTAGCACCGGGGATTCTGTGTTTGTTCTCTTCAGCAGCGAAGTTTGTAGTCCTGAAGTTCTTCTGCCCGCCGTTGTGCCCCCCTCATCAGCAGTGCCCAACAACCAACCACCGAGAAGTATGGTGATCTGGTTATTAGCGTCGCCCTGTTAGGACAACACTCGTAGCCTGAAGAGCACAGAGACTTGCGGAGAGTTTCACTGCACCAGCATCCATTTACCACGGCTTCTTGCACCGCCAATCACCTCATCAACTGACACGTCACACACCTCTAACTATATCTGCATCGATAATTGCATCTGTAATGTTACCAACGTACTCCAGTGAAAAGGCATTTCGAAACTCCTATCGCCTTAAAGACAAAATTCTAGGATGGCTGAGGTAGGTGGCAAAAATCCAGAGCGAATTCTGCCGGTTCTGCTTCTTTCTCTAACGCCGTTTTACTCTTTTCAGGTTAATTCTCTCAGACACAAACTCTAGAAACCTGTTTATGTTTTTATTGTTAAACTTTTCATTTGCCTTTGTCGAGTTATTCTACGGAATATGGACCAACAGGTAAGCAGATGTTTCAATTTGTTATCACACCTTTTCTTATCAATTTTCTCATTCCTATGTAGTTTGGGCTTAATATCAGATTCTTTCCACATGTTTTTCGATTGCACTGCTCTCGTAGCAGGTTTAATAGCATCGGTTATCATGAAATGGAGAGCTGACGATAAATTTTCTTATGGGTGAGTTGCCGTTGTCATTTGACCCATTCAATCATATCTTTCAATTGAAACGCTACTTTACAGCTACGCTCGTGCCGAAATATTAGCCGGCTTTGTAAACGGTCTCTTCCTCATCTTTGTTGCATTTTTCATCTTCACTGAAGCACTTGAAAGAGTCTTTGAACCACCTGAAGTGAAACATGATCGACTTTTCATTATCTCCGTTCTCGGACTGATAGTAAACCTGGTCGGCATCTTTGTGTTTCAACATGGCGGTCATGGTCATTCGCACGGAGGCCACGATCACGGGCACAGCCACGGTGGCGACCACGGACACTCCCACAATCATGACAATCACCACCAAAATCACGACCACCACCATGACCATCACCAGTCGGAGATAAACATGAACAGCGTTGACCACTACAACTTTGTGTCAGTGTCAGCTAATGGCAACCAGAATCACAACAGCAACTCACATTCGCACAGCCACGGCGGCGACCATGGCCACGGACACTCGCATGGCGGGGCAAACAGTCAGATCATGAAAGGCGTCTTCTTGCACATTCTCGCCGACACGCTGGGAAGTGTGGGCGTCATTATTTCCGCCTTTCTCATGTCTCAATTTGGTTGGATGATTGCTGACCCGCTCTGCTCGATGTTCATCGCTGCTATGATCATGATCAGCGTCTATCCTCTGCTGCGCGATTCCTCTGCTGTCCTCATGCAGCGCTCTCCAAAGGAACTCGACGANCGCCGACACACTGGGAAGTGTGGGCGTCATTATTTCCGCCTTTCTCATGTCTCAATTTGGCTGGATGATTGCTGACCCGCTCTGCTCGATGTTCATCGCTGCTATGATCATGATCAGCGTCTATCCTCTGCTGCGCGATTCTTCTGCTGTCCTCATGCAGCGCTCTCCAAAGGAACTCGACGAATCACTACCAAAGTGCTACCGAAGAGTATGTGCCGTCTACTTTTTTTTGTTTATTCTGTTTTGTAAATTAACACCCTCTTTCGCCTAGGTAATGGAACTTGATGGTGTTGTGAGCATTCAGGAGCCTCACTTTTGGACTCTCTGCTCAAACGTCTACTCTGGATCGGTGAAGATAGAAGTGGATCCCCGAGCTGACTCTCGCTTTGTGCTCAGTCACACGCACAACATCTTTAACCAAATTGGCGTGAAGAATGTCACCGTGCAGATTGAGTACGCTCATATGTGATCATTTTCTACTGTCATTTGAAGTTTTTGTACAAAGAACATAGAAATTCTTATATACATAGTAATTAAACGAATTTGCAATTTTTCCCTCATTTGGACCACTCTTTTGTACTTGCGATTCTGCTCTACAACTCTGTTATGATATGTGCTTTTGCGAATAAACCTTTATATTGCTGTTTTATTCAAATTGGTTTTCAAGTTTCAAAAAAGGAACAGTGGCGCCCTCTCACTCTGTCTTGTCAGCTGACAGCAAAACGTAAACACGACAGTTCATTTGTGTGATGTGCTCAAGTGAACTCGGCATTTGGTTCAACTCCAATTTCAAGTCTTGTGATTCAAGCTGTTTGATGTGTTTCACCACCCATTTGATGAATCCTCACAATGAACGGTAAGTTGAAGTTGATTCTGTTCAGGTGATTTTTATTCACGTAATCTTCAGATCAAGCTAGAGATTTGTTGGACTATGAAAACCGTGAACGAGTGGACAATTTGTCGACAAAAGTCGCCTTGCTCAAAAATGTATGTTTGAAGTTTTAAAATTCCATTTGAGAGCTGTTATTTATGGTTGTTTTTAAGTATGCCATCGATATAGAAGAGGAAACAAAGAGGCACAATAGGTTCCTCGATGAAGTGGTAAGTGCACACGTAGCATTCATTTGCCTACGTTAGCATCATTTTGAAATATTTTTCCTTTCTCAGGATGACGACTTTGGAACCAACTTTGTATTTCTCAAATCGACACGAAATCGACTAAACCGCCTCATTCGATATAATCGTAGCCCAAAGTTCACCTGCTATTTGGCTTTGGGCATGTGTGTGATACTCTTTGTAATCTACTTTGTAATCTCTGCCAAAATGAGCAACAGCAGCTCTTGATTACGTGGTGCGACTGAGATTGTCAAACCTGTACTTGATTGTAAATAAGACCAGAGACAAGATATATTATTGTTTTAAAAGTTGAACAAGTTTATTTTTACAGAGAAAATAAATACAAACGAAGCAGATTGTACAATTGACAGGAGGTATAAATACTGTACTGGGGGCGGAGAAAAATCACAGGTTGTATGGGGACAATGATAGGTGCAACAACAGCAATGGTTGGGAGGACCAGGAGGCAGTCTAGTTTCGCTCTCTTTTGATTGGTCAAGTGGGGTGTCGAAAAGTATGGACGGTGTGACTCGAAGTTTGGGAAGTGAGTATGTGCCTGTGCGGGGCTGAACAACAAGTGTGGGCTCAAATGGGGGCGAAAGCTCAGGCGAAAGGAGAGAAAGAAAGAGATCCGGTGCTCGGTTGTGGGCGTTCGTGTATGTGTGTGTCTTGCAGTGTTCTGACTAGTGGGCAGTGTGTGTGAAGGGGGGGGTGGCAATCCACTCTTCACCGACAGAGAAAGACCGTCGTCAGCGTCAGTGCCAGGTAGAAGAGGACACCGGAGAGTGCTGCCGTGCACCTCCTCGCCGAGGAGTCCAGAGAGGTCTGCGGACTTTGCGGATTGAGGGGCAAGAAGCCGTCAATCTCCGAGTGACGATGACCACCACCACTACCACCGCCGCCATTGTCCCTGTCTCTGACAGTGTTGGGCAGACGGCCGCCGCCAGTATTTCCGCTGTTGCCAGCGTCCTGATCACCGAATGAGTAGTGCGGCTGCAGTGTCGGTCTGAAGCGCATCGGCGGCATCATCGGCGGCTTCATCGTCGCCGGCGGACTGAACTGCTGTGACACTGCTGTCGGCCTGTGGTTGACGTTGCCACTGTTGCTGCCACTGCTGCTGCCGATAATCGGATAACTGGGCATCGGAGCCGGTCGAGGCTTGGAGATGTACGACGGGATAAAGTGCGGTCGAGGACAGGAGGCTAAAGTAAAGAAGGGAAAGATGAGGTGAGTTTATGGCTCGCTGTTAAGTGGCACTGCCGCTACCACTGTGGGCAAGATCGGTGAGTGTGTGCTGTGCTTACCTTGCTTGATAATTTTCATGCCAAAAACAAGTGGGTCTTCGCCTCTGTGAATGGAAGAGAACAAGTGCTTATTAGTGAGAAGCTCAAGAGGAGATGTGTCGGGTAAGTGAGTGTCTGTGAGTGTCTGTGAGTGAGTGTATGATGGTTCTCCACTGGTGGTACTGGTGCGCCCACAGGTGATGATTACGGGCAAATGCAGTGGTACGCTCTTTTTAAAGTTGCTGGTGATGGTAGGAGATTGAAGCCTAATCGTAATCTCCAAACACATCACACTGACCGTCTGTATGTTTTCGTTTCCCTCGCCTAATTTCATCAGCAGATTGACTGTTCTGTTCAGTCCTCTTATCTTGATGCTCACTCTGATGAGCCCTAAGCACCACCGGCACCTCAAGTGCCTTCCCGATGGTCTCTCTCCTAATTCTGCTGGGCGCACCACTTCATCATCAGTCTGCCACCACCATCACTACTGAAAAAGACAATTCAACTAAACATCGCAGGCACTCGTTGTTTTCAGTGTACACTGATGCTGCTGATGTTGTTCCTGTTGTTCTCGTTCTTCAATTTCACTTTTTCCTCAATTCAATGCCCGGCACTTGTTCTTTCTTGTTCACTTTCGATGTCCAAGTGGGCTGCAATGTGTGCTGGAGTGCTAGTGCTGCTGTGCCAAGTGCCACCAACCGATGCTGCCCTGTGAAGCCGGAGTTGAGGAATGGCACCACAGCACTGCTGCTCTCAGTAGGCTGCCCCATCATTCTGCCAATAATTTGTCAGGTAGTGCCTGTGTGATGTTGCTGGTGATCTATTTGCCGCCTTGCCTCTCACTGCCAACAATCACCGCCATTATCATCTGATTACCGAATGACTGGTGGCCACTGGCTCTGTCAGCAGCGTGCACTGCCTGCAGTGACTGAGTGGCTGAACTGCACTTCACTCTCAACTACCACCACCACTCGAAACAGTGTCTGTTGTCTGTTGTTGTGTGTTTGTGTTTGCGGTCGGCAAGCCATAAATATTTGCCGCCGAGAAAGAGCATGAGAATGTGCCAAAATGTCTAAATTGAAATTACCTCACGCAGCTGTGCTCTCCAGCTTCCTTGATATGTGCTTCATCACCGTTTTTATAGATTTTACCGGCCTAGATTTTTCAAGAGAAGAAAAAGAGAAAGAAAAGTGAGCGTTAGATGATGAAGTGTGATGGGAAAGTGCGAGGGAAAGCAAAAGAGAGAAAGATAGATAGTGGTGGACCAGAGAAGTGCAGATGATGCTGGCGATGCTGCCTGATGACAGTGCACTATGACTGGTTGAGGTGGTTGTTGATAGATAGCAGAGGACAGGAGAGGGATCGTCTGTGTGATACTTACAAAGCACTGGTAGCCTGGCATGTCACGTCGTTGGGTGAAGGTGTAGAGAACGCCGTCCTCTTCCCAGTTGCCCAGACAGCGATACTCGCGTTCTGTGAAAAGAGAGAAAGAAAAAGAAGAACATGTCAGTTGAATTTGCTGTGTCAAACCTGTGCACTGCCTGCAAAACCACGGCTGTCTCAGAATAGTACTATTTTTGTTGGAAAAGTGACATTTGCATAATAATAAATGTGCTGCTGTTGTTGGCCATTCTCAGCTGGCACCGTCTTGCTGCCAAGATTGGTGGCTGTGGCGGCGGTTGTGCGCTAATTGCGCCAATGGGCCGACCACAATCGGTTAATCCGTGGACATGGTCGTGGCAGGCTCTCTTTCTATCCATTGCCGGGTGACCATTTCCCTCCCCTCCTCCTCCTGTTGCTGACCAGGATTTGCGTCACCTGTTTAGCGGTGGCTGTGTGTATGTGTTTCAGACACAACTTTCACCGGGCGCAAGTGTTGTTGCACTTGTTGGCACTGACTGACTGACAAGAAGTGCACGAGACGCCAACAACAGCAGCAGGTTGAATCGCCGTCGTCGTCGGCGATTGAATCGCTTCCTCTGCTCGTCTCGGCTAATGGCCCCCGTTCTCTGCCTTTGCCTGCTGTTGTTGAACTCTCCACTCGAGAATCGAATGGGCCAAGATCAGCCAAGTGTGCAATGTCTAATTGTAATCGCAGTTGCTGCTGCTGTTGCACTTGCTGCCCAAACAAGAGGACTTGAATGCTGCTGCTGCCCGGTCTACTTGCTGCTCCTGTCCGTCCGTAGTTTGGTCTCGTATCGCTGCCTATCGCTGCCTGTGTCTACTTCTGCCTGCCTGCCTGCCTGCCACTGTCTTGTTCCCTGTCACTGCCCGGCCACTGTCTGTCTGTCGCCGTCGTCATCGTCTTTGCAGTCCCCATCGTGGCCATTCCATTTGCCTCTTCAGGTAATAATAATGGAGCGATTATTTATGTCATGCATGACATCCGATGACTTCTCACTACCGACTCACTCGCTCACTCACTCACTACCTGTTGACGCTCAGGAGGCTAAGAAAGCCTAAGCCTGGGCAAACAACTTTACGGCCATATATTCCGACCACTACCGAAGAAGAAGAAGACAAAGAAGCTTGTTGCAAGATTGCAGCCGGAGTTACTACTGCTACTACGAGTACTCTAAGCAGAAGGTGCCTCATAAAGAGATGAGCTAGAATGGAGTGGAATGAAAATTGCAAGATTGACTTACCTTCGTAAACATGGGATCGATTTTCGCAGCTGCTCACACTGTGGAACATTATGTCGGGATTGTTGCAGTCAGAGGCGACCTTTGCGCACAAACCACTCGAACCAGGCACCTCACCAGTGTAGTCGCCCATGATTGGACACGGAGTTGACTGAGCCACGATTTTCTCCTCTGCAAAAGAAAGCGAAGGGGAAAAAAGCAGAAGATGTTGTTAATGTTGTGGTTATTAATTGATTCATCCACACTCTCGACTATCCACTAAATTGAATTAGAACTGTCGATCGGGGGAATGAGCAGACTGACTAGCTAGTACTTACTTCCTTCGGTGATCCAGTTGTTGGAGATGAAGTTGCGGTCATCGCAGAGCTTCTCATTCATGACAGTGCTCGACTTGTCGGAGAACTTGAACTCCATAATGTTGGGTGATCGACGCTTCATCCACAGGCAGCTGTACGTCTGCTCGCCACTAAATAGCATTGCAGGGAGAAAGAGAAAAAGGTGGTCAGTGAGAGTAGGTGAATGAAAGTGGCCTGATGATTGTGGCTTACCATTGAGTGGCGGTGTGCACGATGAAGCGCTCATTCGGCGTATCATTCTGGCGCATGATGCACTTTGAGCGAGTCGTGCGAAATTGATTATGCTCATCCTTGTAGATGAATTCAGTTCTCTCCACTTCACTAGCCCGCCATTTGCCAATCGTCCATTGGGGAAAGTGGCATTTGGCGCTCTCCGCCAGTGCTGGTCGACGCTTGCTGGCCACTGTTCAAAATTCAATGATAATGGTCAACCGGTGAAGTTTGTTATTATTATGCTTTTATGTATTAATAATATTTGCCAATTAACAAGTGCCCATAGAGGGGTGATCGTGAGCAGTATGGGCATTTCATCAAAATTGGCTAGCAGTTGTGGTAAAGGGCACTTACGTGGCGTCAGAGTGAGCGACTCGAATCCTTCCGTGGAGTTGGCGAGGTGTGCATCACAAGTGGAGTCCGATGAAAGTGAGACCGTGTACTGTCCGGTGTACTGATTCTCTTTGTAGAGCTGAAAGAAGAGAAAGGAAGAGAGAGAAAGGAAGAAAGGCCATTGTTAGTATGCTAGTATGCGTCGTGTATGTCAGTGGTAATGGTGCTCTATGGGCACAGACACAGTGAGGCAGTGTCATTTGTGGCAACCAATTACCGAGACACTGTGCAACAGGCGGCAAACTGACTAGTAGTGGAAAGTGATCTCTTTGTGTGCTCATTGTCTCTTTGTGTGTTCGCAAATGCGGGGGTCGGAGGGCACTGCTTCTTCTTTAGTGTCCTCTTTCTCCAGGGCCATCAAAAGCATCATTTGGAGAGAAGCAAGAATCGAGAACGATGTGGCTGTACCAGCGCTTGAAAGTGATAAGGCCGCAGCTTGCAAAAAGACAATTGGCTCGTCTCTTTCTTTTTTTCTCTTTACAAAGACTCTGGCGCGCGCAGGCGGATATACGCTGGTGGCCGAGCCTGTGTGTGTCTGCTTCAAACATAGCAAAACGAACCAATTTGATTTGAAGAAGTCATGCGAGAAGGAAGACAGCAGCAGCAGCAACAGCAGCATCATCATCAACCAACGCAAGAATGCTCGCGCTCGCTGGCGGCCTCTTCGAAGCACACACACTGGTCGTCGTGTAGCAGCACAATGGCCGTGTAATGTCGATGCTACAGACAAATTAAGAGAGAGAGAGAGAGTATCTTTACGCGCGAGCATCTTACGCATCCTCTGCGGTTGCTGCTATCCGCCACCATGCAATAGGATGTGTGCCTGAGCAGTAGTGCGGTAGTATCTTCTGCGGTATCTCTTCTGCAGTCCTATTCCTCCTCCCGTACATGGCCAATCGAACTCGTGTGTCTGTGTGTGCTTCACACAACCGACACACAGGCGTGTGATTGAGTCGGTGATTGATCTCAAGACAGCCGTTCGGACAATTAAGCAGGCGAATGGCATTCGATGAGAGGAAGAAAACTTTGGTGGCCCACAGTAGTTATGTCAGCGACGAGTGTTGTTTTGTGTGTGTGTTTGTGTCGCTGGGAAAGTGAACACATTCTTTTTCTCTGACTGACTGACTGTCTGTTAGAAGAGCAAAGAGACTGTCTTTACTTACCCCGCATCGGTACTTGGGACGCGCTTCGGGCTCCTCACGCAGATCCATTAAGGCGATATATCTATCACCGCGCGGACTCTCCCAGTCGCCGAGGCACATGAAGTGAACGTCTGTGGTGAGAGAAAGAGAGAGAGAAAAACCATAAAGAAAAGATGGTTAGCAAACGTGCTGCTCAGAAGTAGGAAAAAGGCATTAAGCACTGACGACGACGATGACAATTAGCAATGTATCGACGATCATCGGCATCACCTTCAACCACAGCATTCAATTGATGCTGATTAATCACTGCAGACTGTTACCACTTACCGGTCGTGGGGAAGTTGCATTTGCGGAACTTGACATTGAGTGCGTTGCCGTGCGGACAGTTGCTCATCTCGGAAAAGCCCAGGTCGCAGTTTTGCTTGCCACCATTGGCCGAGTACTCAAAGCGGAAGCGACCGTTGAAGGGACAGAACACGTGCTCAATCGACTGCAGACCGCCGGGAACGTGTTTGCCTGTATTTGTTAGAGAAAGGAGGGAAAAAGAGAGAAATGAATTAGATTAGATGATCAGAGCAGAGACACAAAACAGGCTCATTAATTAGCCGACTAATTGACAAATTCTGATTAATTGCAGTGTCTCAGGCTAATCAGTCCTACTTCATCACACCTCGACTTTTTTTTGCTTTGCAAAAGGAATACTAATTTCAGATGAAGAGACACTTGATGCGGACCCACATCTCTTGTCTACATGACGGGCAGACGATGTCGTTGGAGATGTGTCACTGTGAGAAGTGAGGGCTCACTAATGGCTGCAGCTCCACCATCAGTCGCGTAATTAATTACCGAATCATAAGCTCACTGATAGGATGACCGAGGGATGCTACTTTAAGCTGGCTAGCTTCAGCCTCACCGAATGCTGATACTGATCACTGCGCCCGACTGAGGTTTTCGCTGCTGCTGCTGCTGCTGATGGTGTTGCAGCAGTAGCAAGCCAATTAAATCTAGGGCGGATTCGCATCGGCACTTCTTCTCATTCCTCATCTCCTTCACTGATTCGCCCATTTGCGCCGATTTGCTCACCTCGCCGTAGCAG